TTTTTGATAGGATATTTACGGTTAAATAAACTCTCAAATTTTATTGAGAAAATCATTAAATTATTTAAGAATTTTAAATAATATCAATAAATAAAATATTTAATATATAAAAATTTGAATTATCATTGTTTATGGAGTGCTCATAATTAATTGCTCACGTGAAATAATAATAATTAAAATGGCATGATATTTTTTGTTAATAATTGAATGAAAAAATTCAAATATTTTAAGTATTAATAATTTAAATATTACGCAATGGATATTAATCACCTAATGGTCATGTGATGATTCGTTATCTTTATTGGCTTTGCGACCAAAATTTGAAAAATACAACCCACTAAACAAATAAATGACAATTTTGGTGGGATCAAAATTCAATCCAATAAAACTAAGGTGCAATTTCCAATTCTAATTCTACATACAAGAGTTTATTTTTCTTAAATAATGAAGTAGTTGAATAAATTCTTCTGTGTTTCTAGTTTGTTAGATTATATATATAATTCACATGTGCATGATTTCATTAATATTTTAGGTATCTTACTTAATTAAAGTTGAGTATGTACTTTAAAATTATTTATTATATACAAGTTATCCCTCAACTAAGTTATCATGTTTTACCAAGATTTATCGTTTTTTTTTAAATAGGTAAATAAATAGTTGAAAATGTTTAGATTATTTATAAATATTTATTATTTTGTTTTTGTTGCATCATTTTTTCTTTAATTAATTTTTATATATTAAAATCATTAAATATGATTACGATTTTATAGTTAAAATTACATTAAAAATAATGACTTTTTTCAAAACAAAAATTCAATATCATTTCAAAGCTTTGTTGTTTCGGTTAATGTTGAGTTAATTTTTTGAATATATGGAAGAAAGCAGTTTAGGAGATAGGTTGAAAAAAAAAAGCAAATTCTTGAGAAATAAGTTGATTTTCAAGATATGTGGAATGCAGTTTTGTTCGTGTAATTGTATTAACTGAATTCAATATTAAATAGATATTAGTGCATTACTAATTTGACATTAAAAGTGTGTCAAATAAAGATTTTTTAGGTAAATATTAGTTATTAATAAAAAATATAAGATGAGATGGATATTAGTATATTACTAATTTGTCATTAAAAATATGTCAAAGTAAGGGTATTTTAAGTAGTTCAATTTTTTACAAAAACACTCCTTCCTTTTATTGTAGTTATTATAAAGGAAAATCAAATAAAAAAAATAAAAAAATAGAGATATAAATATAGATATAGATATAGATATAGATATTGAACATATATTAGTCAAGTAAGCAATTATGATTCAAATATGTGGCGAATCAATTATAATATTCCCTATATAACATATATTAGTCAAATAAGCAATTATGATTCAAAATTGTCTCGAATCAATTATAATCTTCCCTGCATAACACATATTAGTCAAGTAAGCAATTATGATTCAACTCTGCTGCGAATCAATTATAATTTCCATCTATATATAATTTCTAAATGGCAAACACACATGATTCGGAATTCTATATGGCAAATTTATAGAATTGGTTATTTGACTTGGATAAATTTTAATTTAATTTCAATCCAAAAGTAACTAAACTTGAAATATCTATAAATATATGGAATATTTATGGTCTTTTTTAAGAGCATTAATCATGTTTTGATAAAATTTTCTATCGTAAATGTGGTTAGAAGGTATAGTTTTTTTTTCAATCTTTATTTTTTCATTATCTTTCGTTTAAAAGTATAACAAATTTACTAAATTAAAATTATAAAATATTTAAAAGTTAATAATTTTTTTATATATTATCAATTTTTTTTACATATAATATATCAAATTAATCATGTCTTGATAAACTTCGATTTGACATCTATATTATACATACAAACTAATGAAATGATTTTTTTATCTTTTAAAATGAAAATTAAACTACCCATTAATATTAATTCAAAAAATTAAAAATATTACAATTAATTTAACTACAAAGTAGTTATCTTATAAATTAAAAAAAATATTATAATATAAGATGGTAAGTCGTGTAAATTATAGGTATCATTTTAAACACAAATAATAATTTATTTTTTCAAAATAGTATTTCAAAACTAAAATAATTTTTGTTGTTATAATTAATTCATATTGAATAAAAATTTCTTACCAAGTATCCGTGTAATACAATATTTTACTAATGAATAAAATAATACTGATGTTGCATTACAAGTTAAAAACACGTTGAAAATAAGGCATACACAGAGTTTGAATCAACTGCTCGTGTAATGGAACAATTCACATTCTAACCTACGTAGAAGCTAAGACTATTATTAACCACATAAATCTTGCTCGTGTAATGGAAATTCTAACATACATAGGAGCTAAGACTATTATTAACCACATAAATCTTGCTTGTGTAATGGAACAGTTCCTATTCTAACCTACGTAAGAGCTAAGACTATTATTAACCACATAAATCCTAGTAACCGTGTCAGCTAGGTTTACTCAACACTCCCATTATTAGATGTGTGGCTATGACCTTTGATAGAAACATTAACCGTGTCAGCTAGGTTTCATGATTACTTTAGTGCCTTCGGGCAAAACAAACTTTTTTGTTACACTTTAGTGCCTTCGCTTCAATGAAACGTTATGAAAAGAAAACTGAATCGCTAAATACCGTACCCTTCCCTTTTTACTTCGTATCGCACCTCCAAAAGACTATTTTGCCTTTTATTCCTTTTTCTTAAAATAAAAAAGATGTCCCCTCTTCAGAGCCACTTACCGGCCGAACTGAGCCCCGAAAAATTCCAAAAACACCTCCGAATAATTCCGACGAAAAAATACTTTCCTACAAGACCACTGTTGCCGCGGCCGGCCGGTCAAACCGGCCGGACTGGAGCCGGCGATCGCGGCCGATCACGGACCGACCGGCCGTACTTTTCAGCCGAGCCTATGTTGGCCACCTTCGGCGGCCGACCAGACCATTCCTGGCCGAAAAGTCCGGCCGGCCGGACCTTGACTGGCCGCGGTCGCCGGCCGTCCGATGCCAGTCTGGCCGACCAGTCGGATTTTTTTCTTTTCGCTTTTTTAATTAAAAAAACTTTAAGTATTATAAAATATATATTAAAAATTTCTATATATTAATATATATTTTACAATAAATTAAAAAAATAAATAGTTAAAATATATTAATAAAATATATATATTAATTGTTTTTTTTCCCGGTTTCTATTTTTTTAATAAAATATATTAATAAAATAGATATATTGAATTTGTAACTAAATATATATATATTAGATTTTATATATATAAATTATTTGTACATATAAATTACTTTGTATATTTTTTTTTAATTTTTTTTTTTGTTTTTAATTTTTGTTAAGTTAGAAGTTAGAAATTATTGTGTTATGGATTAGAATTGATTATTTATAAAATAGAATGTATTAATAATATGATAGAAATTATTGTGTTATAGATTAGTATTGATTATTTTATAAAGTATAATTTATTGATACTAGTTTAAAA